CTTCTGCACTGCAAGAGAAACTACCAACAGAGCTAAGAGACAACCTACAATATGGGAAGAAATTTTTAGCAGCTGTACCTCAGACAAAGGTCTACTATCTAGAATATATAAAGAATTTTAAAAAATCAGACCCCCCCCCAATTCAAAGACCCAATTGAAAAATGGGCATCCAAAATGAACAGACATTTCTCAGATAAAGAAGAAAAACAGCAAATAAATATATGAAAAAAATGCTCAACATCACTGGTCATTCAAGAGATGCAGATGAAAACAACACTGAGATTAGGCCTCACCCCACAAAGAATGGCTGCTATCAAGAAATCAACCAATAACAAATGCTGGCGGTGGTGTGGAGAGAAAGGAACCCTTCTCCATTGGTGGGAGTGCAGACTGGTGCAATCACTGTGGAAATCTGTATGGAGATACCTCAGAGAACTAGGACTAGAGGGCCCATTTGACCCAGCTATTCCCCTACTGAGTATCTTCCCCAAAGAATTAAAAGAATCGTACCACAGCGATATATGTGCACCTATGTTTATAGCAGCACAGTTTGTAATAGCTAAGGTTTGGAAACAGCCCAAGTGCCCATCAACTGGAAACCCGATAAAGATGTGTTTTTTTATAAAATGGAGTACTACTTAACCATAAAGAACGAGAAACTAGAGTCATTTATAGCTAAATGGATGCATATTGAGGCCATACTCTTAAGTGAAATGAGTAGGACATACATGTGTAAATACCAAATATTATCTCTAGTGTGAGAAACTGAAAGTATAAATAAGGATGAAAATGATTAAAATGAATAATTGATAATTTGAAATAAGAAAAGGTCCAAAGGTGGAGGGGTGGCAGAAGTGGAAGGGGAAAGGGAAGAAAGGAAAGGAAAAATTATGAGAAAGGAAAAAAAGTGGAAACAAAGTCTATATAAATAGGGAAGGGTTGTGGGGGTGAAGGGCGCATAGGTAATGGGGGAAAAATAAGAACTAAGATACATCACATTCAGGTACAAACACCCAATGATAAATGTAAATGTATTGTATACCTAGAATTACCAATTAATGTATAAATTAAAAAATGAAAATGTGACTAGTATTAGACTAGAGGAAGGGCATAAGAGAAAGGGAGAGGGATCTAATGGTTGTTAATGAGAGGAACAGATATGAGTAAAACATATGTGCATTGAAATCCCATAAAAAATGGGGAAATGATGAGGAAAGATGGATAAAGAGGGATGAAAATGATCTGAATATGTTATATTCTTGTACAAATCTTCCAAAATAAAACTCATTATTCTGTATAACCACTTTTAAAAATTACTTTAAAATATGTCATAAATGTGTAAATAAGTTTTTAAAAATCTGAGTTTCACCCCAGATAAAGCATAGATTTAGAAGAAAGTCATTTTTTGAATTAAATACTTGTTCAACTAGTTAAAAGCAGTATAATTTTTCATCCCTATGATGTGACAGAATTGTTGATTATTTAAGAATTGAATTTTAAAAACTAGGTTAAATATTTAATGAATTTCATTTACTTTTTTCTTATGTTGCATCATAGTTTTTCCCTTTCAAAATCCCTAGGAAAATGAGCCCATGTAGAAATAACTGAAATGTATTTCTTGGTTACATTTATCAGTCATAAACAATATTATTTGAAAGTATTTAATTTCCTTTGAGTCACAGTGTAAATTAAATACATTATTATATCTACACAAATTGTCATATCTTATTTTTATGTCCTATTATATATTATCCCCTATTATATTCCCTATTTCTCTTTATTAGAAATTATCAGTAAAAATGAATTATTTTGTAAGTAACATTCTAATTAAAATGTCTGTTTTACAGAAACACATCTTGCAGACTCATTTATCCTTCTTTGTTTAGGATCTTAGAAATGGATTTCTAAGTAATTTGTGCCATATCAGTTTTATCAGAAAGATGGAAGACCTAGGGCAAATGGATGATTTCCTGTCATATTTATATAAATATTTTATATTTTCTTGTGTTAATAAATCTTTTAGTCATAGATGTTTATATGAGAGGGAGCAAAAATAGTAGACCTAAAAAATGACAATTGTGTAATTGTGTATCTTTCAATGAGATCTTAATTCTCAGATGTTTAATCCATGAGAAGGAAGTAGTTAATTGCTCAAATCCTGAATTTTCATCTAGCAGCCTACTACCACTTCAGATTCCAAAAGGGAATACACAGAAACAAGATTCTGCAAAAAATGTACAAATGTACCATTAAAAAATAATAAAGTAAAAAATCCTCAAGAGAAGTGCTGCTGAGAGAGACTCAATACCTCTAAAATCTACAGTGGAACTGCCCTAAACACACATACAAACACAAACACAGTGTATTAGTTTTCCATTGCTGCTATAGCAAATTATTACTAACTCACTGCCTTAAAATGACACAGATTTATTATCTCACAGTTCTGTAGCTGAGACTCCTAGGTCAGACCTGAAAATCTTTCTGATTTGGTTTCCTAAGGCTGAAATTAATATGCTAATCTGCCCAGACTACAGTGCTCTGCAAAGAATTCAGTTCTTGTTTGTAGGACTGAAGTCCCCGTCTTCTTGCTGGCTCCAGG